GAGAAATAACATTTAAACTATTGTAATTTCAAGTCTGTGTCATAACGCAAGCAATGACAAAGAATAAAATAATATTCCACATTTCAAACCATTTTTAACATTATTTTTAATCTAAGAAATACAAATGCAACTCAACTATAAAGTTGCAATAAAAGTTAGAAAAGCTAGATCAGCATTAAAGCTGGCTGACTGAAGACCGAACTTAAAAACAAATATTATCTTAGTTGAAACTTGAACTCAGACCTTCACACTATCTTAATTTTTAAGCATGACTGTAATTCCCTTTAAAGAGTACTTGCCAAGAGACGTAGTTAGGGGGCATGTCCCACAAATCATCAGTAGGGCCTGAAGGCGAGACCTTTGATCAAACTATTTGCACTAGTATTTGAAACAGACAACCAAGAGAGCTAACTAGTATCGGATTTGTTATTTGAGTAGTAACTTTCTAGATGATGTGTTTTTACTTGCCACCTGCTGTAGTGATTGGTATCACACGTCTTTACATGTGTTTGGAGGGTTATATCTTATACAGTAGCTATAATGTAATGTTTGCATTACATCTACTCCAGTTGATAACATTAAACAGCTAATTTGTTGCAAACTGGATACACAGTAGGTAATATGTAGCTACTGGTGTCTCGAGCTTCACTCCAATACAAAGCATGCATTACACAGAAGGCAGTCAGAAAAGAAAACATTGAATTGGTGCATGTTAATTTTGGAGTGTCAGAGATGAACTTGTCTGTGGGTGGCAACTTCTCCAACATAAATATAGTTCTTTCCATGCACAAAACCTCACCCTCCAAAATTGAAAAAACAAACAAACTTAAAATGGCTATTGAATGATGTTGACCACTCCATGGATAGAGAAAAAAAAGAAAGAAAACTGTGCACATTTTATCAAGGAGAATGCATCATTGTTTCTTAACACTCTCCTGGAAATCTCAAAACTATGTGAAGAAGAAACAGAAAATTTGCGCAGTTTTTCTACCTAACAAACAAAAATAATCACATAAATTTGTTTGATTCAAAAATAATAATAAATTCTGCTTTGTTTCAAAAAAGAGACTGGAATGTATTTTGGTATTCTGGAAAGTAACCATTAAACAAAAGGTGGATCTAAAAAAATTTTATAATACTTATACACATTAAAAGCACAGAAACTTTATAGGGCAGCCATTTTTTATGGTAGTGTGAACAACTTTCATCCACGTGTTCAGTTGTACTTCATTGGAATAATTTACCACAACTGTGCACGGAATTAAACATTTATACTGTGATATGCATTTTCACGATTTGTTTATGCATGTTCAGTGTATTTACAATGAGCCACGTTCATTGATTCGCCTGAGTTGTCATGATGCATGCTATTACACATTGGATTTAGATCACTGTCGATGACTTTACATGATTACTGGCGTTGCAGACCCCTTCGTTAGTGGTACAATTGCCAACATAAGTGAAACATTAGTAATTCCAACCTGTTATCACAGATTACGTGTGCAACACTGATGGCACGTAGCTGTTACATTTATGCCTGCTGGTATTCGGAGACTAAGTACTATTTCATTCAGCAAAAAAAAAAAAAAAAACGTGAATCATGTGGATGAATTATGACAAATGCTTTATAGTAGTGATTTAAATATCTCCAATATAGGTTAACTTTTTGTGTGCCATGTGACTACTGAATTGTAACCAATTAACGAAAGAGCATGAATGAAAAGCCCCCAATTTTTTTATTATTTATTTATTGCTCATATCAACTTGCAATATAAAATGTCGCACTTGTTTATGTTTTGCTCGCATACGTGCATGTGCCGATAAAAGAATAATAGTGTTTGTTGTTGTTTAAATACACATGTATCTGTTCCAGTAAACAACTTGTGGACAAAGATGTCACAGCAGTTCGTCAGCTAGTACTGATCAGTGATCGACATTCGTTTACAGATAGTCGCATGATGGTCAGCATAAATTTAAATACATAACGTCACAGTGCAACGGCCTATAGAGATATGCGGTCCCTTTCATTTTGCTCTTACAAGGTCTGTTGCGAAAGAAAACACCGAATCACAGAAATCTACTATTGTACAGTAGAGGACCATATTTTTCAAAAATTTGCATTGATGAATGGGGAGTGTTTGTATCTTCTAAGTTTAGGACACGCTTTTTCTAAACATAATCCTAAAACTGAATAGTTGTAGGTTTATACTAGCTATACACATTTTTATAAAAATTGAAAAAGCAACAATTCAAATAATATCAAATAAAAAATATACCAAACTTTATTTTCCCTTAGATTGTGCTATTTTAATGTCTTTAAACTTCAAATTAACCTAACCTTGCTGTGAATTATCCTATGTATAATAGTTAGAACTGTAAATAAAAATATCACTTTGAGTGCGGCCATGAAAAAAATAAATAAAAAAGTTTTTATAGTTGATTTCTTTCATGGAACCAATGTGAGAGTGTAGTTTTTTTGTTTAATTTTAAAATTTTCATAACAATTTAGGTTTTTTGTTGTTGTATTTTTGGTTGTGTAGCTGTGGCGCACTCATTTGATTACCAATCTGTTCCAAAATTTTAAAATTATAAATTAGCAAATTTAAATTACAAATAACAAAATATCAAACCAATATAAAGCTAAATAAATTGTTTTTTTCAGAAACTTTGAGTATATGATAATTTAAATATATATATATATTACAAACATAGGAATGTTATGTGTTCAAATGTCCACACTTATTTGCATAATCTTTTTCGCAAGTGATGGTCACAAGGTCGAAGGTCATGCTCCCTGATATCTAAGCTTTCAGAAAAAATATGCTTTATAAGCATTCCTAAGTTCAACAAACAGTGGGGAATCCTTTTTTTGCAGAGTGTAAATTACCTTGGTCACTGAAGTGTTTGATCAGAATGGGTTTAATCATCCTCGGATTGGGAGGGAGGAGGGAGGGATCTATTTGACAAGATTATCCTGCAATGCGAACAATCCTTGAAGCGTGATCGGCTTATATGCAAATTAACTTTGCAAGTGTCACTCATCCGTGGTGCAGGGACAGTGTGTATGGTAACTATGGTAACATACCTAGATCGTGAAAATCCCCAGACCCTGGACACATCACGTTAAAACTCAGGCTGAACACGCAAGGATTCAAAAGACTATTAATACATAATCAGACTGACACCGACAAAGATGATACAGGTCTACGATCACGATGATCCTTTGTTGGCCAGTCTGTTACATTGTACCAAAATCTGTTACAAGCTATATCAATCTTTATAAATAGTTATTTTTCTTAACAAAAATAAACCACATGTATTTTTATGGTATTTATTTGGTAACCAAGCCTACTATTGTCTGTTAAAACAATATTATTAGAATTTTTTTCAAATGGGGATGTATCATTAGTATTAAGTAAACAGAAAAAAAAACATCCCATTGTATTTCATGTAGGTATACAAAGAGTGTGTACTAGTA